GAAATTCAGACGTCAAACACTACGAAATCCCATACGATGTTTTCAGAAGTATGGTCTGACTCCTTAGACAACACAACAAAATAGATATTTGTATCACATTCGAATTCTTCGTCGAACGTGAATAAACTGATTTAACCTCACGTAATCGTTGAAAATTTCCCCGCGTGAGTTCTGAACGCTCTCATTTCTAGAAGGGGCACAGCATGCAGCCAGGGGTCTAGATCTGCTTGTCGGACCGAAGGAGGCGAACCCACATTACTCAGAGACGCAGTACTGTGCTTTCGGCATCCCAAATCCAGAACAAGAAACAGTAAGCTACAGGTTCGTGCTGCGCCAAAAGTCATGACCATGAATTCAGATGTGCTATCTATTCCATCTGGAAAGAACATGTTGCATCCACAGCAGTACGGGGTAGCTGCTGTCGTGGGAACCGGGGTAGAGAGTAGGGCGGAAACTGTCAGGCGGGGTTCGCGTGTGTCAGTGGTCCGACAAGTATCTGTGCGCCGCACCATCTACTACGCGCATTTTACGGCATGGGCTGTGGCCAACCCTAAAAACTTCAAAGACCATCTGTTGCGATTTGTGATTTCCAGAGTCTTCCAGTGAAGACTCCGGAAATCACCAATCGCAAATTGATTCGTACTTTTTTGCGATTAAAGCATGCCAACACGGCGTTTTGTGTCGTATCAAACGCACGATCGCTCCCAAGGCACCACCCCTTGGGAGTAGCACCAGAACATGTACCAAATCACAAATCTGCACAGCACATCAACGCAGCCATGGCTGCGTTGATGTGCTATGCACACTCCGATTCTAAAACTGAATTTCCCTAGTGGTTTCATGCCGCCCAGATCGCCTCGGAGAAACTCTACTGCACTAAGCCGCAGACCACTCTACATCGAGCAGCGATCTTTCCGCTTCCATCTCAACGCTCCCTCGCTTTGCCTCCACCTTTTTTTTACACCCCCCGTATATCGCCTAAATCTCAATCGTCAATAAGAGAGTCCAGGTCCCTGCCTGTCACCTTGTCCTCTGCTGCCCTATTATATATTTGATCGATCGCCACTTGGTGCACGTAGTATACCGTTCGTGCCTTCTCAAGTGTCGCGTACAGATCCCGCAGCTTCTGTTCATGCAGCCCATTTGACCCCGTTAAGTGTTGGTACAGTTACTGAGTCTCCAGAAACGGCGTTAGAGTCTGTGCCCGCTTTGAGATCGCTCCCGCCGTCGGCCTCAGGCACTGGATCCCCTGTCCTGCGTTCGTGGAAGGTGTAATCCGTTACCGTGCCTACAGGTGCCACTCCCGTAATTTCGCTGATCATCCCTGGGTTCTCGGTCGAGCCGCTGTGTCTCCAAGTCGAACCCTGCAAAATAGTAACCGGGACTGGAGACTTTTGGACGAGCGCCCCGTTCATGGTACTATCTAGCAGGAAGCATAGATTAGCGGCTGCAAACTCTCTCCTGACCTCGCCCATCCTCGTCATAGTCATAATCACCTCTTCCATCTTCAATCCAGTAGTGTTGGATAAGGCTCTCACTTGATCTGCCACATGACATCTGAGCACTTTGATCAATTTAATGGCCCTCATAATTAACTTTTTCTTATGTCTTCCGTCCATATATCTCTCACCAGTTGAAGTTGCTTTAAACATTGCATGTTCCGGGACTATACAGACAGCGAACCTGCCTTCCTCCTCCTCAGACAGGAAACCACAACGGCCAGCATGTCTAACAATCCCTTCTGAGCAGTCCTTACACTCCGGACAATCGATATACCTTTTCTCACAGCTGCCGCCCGTCTCCCAATTTCCGGAAGCATCTCTTTGTAGTATTACTGGTTCTGATATTGTATAATCCTCAAGGATGTTAAGAGTGATCCCAGCTTCTTCTGCGATCTTTCGCCACCAGTCGATCTTGACAAATTTAGCATAAGGGGAAATGGTGCATTGGGGGATTGAATCTCGGACCCCCGTTAGCTCCGTGTCGACCCCGCTGCCGATCAGATACATCGTGCCGCCCGAGAGCGTGAGTCGATTGAACACTTCGCCCCGAACTACGTTGCGTGCCTCGATGTGTGCGTCGACCCACCTGGCGCTAGAAGACCCGATTCCCGTTCTGCCGTACGTCTCCAAGTCGGAACCTGGGCGGAAAAACACTCCGCTACTGGAGTGTACGCCGAGCCTCCGTGATCCACCACTTAGCAAGTTGAAGCAAGTCTTCCCCCCTTCTATCCTCACTGACGCAGAATATATACAGTCCCCAATCGTCTTGAGGCTCAACATATTGTTCCTCAGTGCCATCCCTGTTAAGTCTCCCGCCAGCATGTGCCTATACGTTACTAAGCTTGAAAGGTCTCCAACTTTGACCTTCTCCCCAGTGTTGTACTCAACTTGTAATATGCTTGATCGTCCCCGTTCTGATCTCTTCGTAACCACTCGCTCCACTTTAAGTGGGATACCCATGCCCCTGAGGCTGTCCCTCGAGCTAGTAGACATAGGTCCCTTCCTTTTCGGATTTCGCGCGCAACAAGCCCAAGCAAGCGAACTTCTAAGCGCGTGCCGAGCAATATACGGTTGTACAGGCGATGAGAGAAGCCACAGGGAGGCGCAAGTAGGAGGAGCGCGAGTACGGAGCGCGAGACGGATGAGGTATATGTTGTGCAGTGCCGTATGCTGCGCTGGGAGGAAGGTCGTGTGAGGCTGGATTGATGTTTTGATTTTGAGAATTTTTCTTACGTACCCCTTTTCTTTTGGAATTTTTCTTACATACCCCTTTCTTCACCTCACTCCAGAAAGACTTTCCGGTACAGAGTAAAGTCTCGATAAGCTGCGTACCTGATATGATGAACTGTCTCGGTACATTGAACCGAAGGACTATGAGGGAAGCGCCACCCCGCTTTTTTGGCCCAGAATCGACGTTTTCGTATTTCTAACGTGAACTAGACTCTATAGAATGAACTACGCGATACCATGAACATACAAAAACATGAAAACCCCAGAGTTCACTTTATCGAGGCCGAAATGCGCACTAGGAACGAACCATCAACGACTACAGAAGCCATCCATACGACTTTGCCTCAGATTCGAATGCTGAAGCCTCCTTACGCGGCTTTGTTCCTCATACAGAAGTGACTTGATGCTCGAAGGCAGCCCCGATTGAACTAGATTCGCGTCCGTCATAATACAACTGAGTTCGTTAGATAGAGCTTCTAATGTTCCGCGATACCGAGCAAGCGACGGTTTGCGTCCTGTCCGGTCTTTCGCTGGCACAGTAGAGCGATCGTCCTCACTATCTGAATCACCGTTAAATTGATCTTGCTCAATGCCAGTAAATGCCCCAAAATCCCCTAATCCAAGATCAATGGCTTGACCGAGAGCTGACTCTTCTGATATAGACTCTGGATGTGGCAGAATTAAAAGAAAAGGAAGGATGGATCACAATGTGAAGTGGTCCAGATGTGGAATTGCGCCCGTCGACCTTGCCCCTCGACCTTGCCCGTCGATGGACAGAGTGAAGGAAAGTGAGTTTGTGTTCCTGTGACCGTATCATCGGCATTGGTGGAGACGCTCTAAGAGCGTCTCCACCGGTGTGGTCCAAATCATACTGTACCCGTAAAAAGGGTACACGTGTACACGAGCAGTTCCGCCGCCGTGAACTGCCTCGGTAAGGCGAACTCAATGGGCTGCTCGGAAGCGCCACATTTCGGTTCACGATATCGAGACTTTACTCTGTAGAGGTACACAGTGCTGGGGCTTCGCAGGTCGTAGTGTCGCGCTTAACTTGACCACATGCAGAGCAACGCGACTTTCGTTGAGGCGCTGCGACCCCACTCTCCACACGCCGTTGGTTGGGCGTTCACGATGTATGAGCACTCCTGGAGGGGCACTGTATACACAGGCGCCCAGAGTGTGACCTTTTTACCTTGTGAGATCGGCCCACGGTGGCGCACATGGTCAAGGGTGCCATCAAGATGCTGCGCTTGTCAGGGAACGTGCTCCCTTTAATCAAACTCATTCTTGCGACACCCTCTTCACCTCCTCACGTATTCAATCTAGCGCTCCTAAGAAAAGGGGCTCATAAAAAGGGGTATGTAACGAAACGCGGCGCGGGCGGGTGGTGTTGCGGACGCGCATCGGGTCCGCCGCGTGCGGGGCGGTGCTGACCGTCTGCTCAAACCGACACATACTGTAGCATGCGACTGGCAGCTCCAATGCCTCAGGGGACGCAATCTGTCAAAACAACCCTTATTAGACGGGATTACCCGGGCCGTGCACTGTATGTTCGCTTCCTCTAATTTGCGTGCTAATCCGTCTACTGTACTGCTGTTGCTTTCACATGCCTGCCCTTACACGCAGCAGGCGAGATCGTCCTCTATAAGTTCCTGCCCTTCTCACAGGTCTCTCGAAGGCAGTACAAATCAGAAGTTGATGAGACCCAACACAGGCCAAAGTGCCTGACCGGCTCCGACATGCATTCGCATTCAGTCGCCGTCCACTGGAGTAATGGTTATGCCCTGGCGGCTTGGCACGTCCATACAGTATCGTGAAATTCTAAAGTTAAGGCCTCGACGACACTGCGCATCTCAAAACTCGAGATTGCCGGTTCTGCCATCCGTGGTTTATGCAGCTCTTTTGACTGGCCGTCTCGATATACCATATATCTCAGGATGCGCGAGACTTGGCACCACCAGGCGCGCAGATCCGGGCGCTGTAGTGGTATTACGTAGCTCCTCGCTCTGTTGGACGGTCTGCGGTGAGGCACGCCCAATACTGTATCCTTTCCTGGTGGCGCCTCGCCGGTCCTAGACTCCCCTCGCCTCTAAGAGTCGCGAATCCGCCGGCCCATCAATCCCCAGTCTCTGCGTCCAGTAATACCTCCTTGTATAGTTCAGGTCCGTATGACCTTCAGCTCCCGCGAGAGTCAGTTTTACCACCTGTGCAGAAGTCACTTCCGGAAGGCACTTCACCACACTCTTCAGCTTTTCCTTTCGCAGCGCCATTACCAGACACACAGCGCAGTGAACTATTCTTGCCTAGTCGGAGGATGTAAATAGTGCTGCCTTACTATTCAATACCGCGAAACAGAAAAGTGAGGCATACCAAAGTCCTCATACCTGCTGATCCGCATCCAGACGTCTTCTTAATGCTTGACTCAGAATTCACCCTCAAAGACACCCCTTTTCGTTTCCTCAACCGGCGCCTGCGCGCGGCATGTCCCGATATGCGCAGCAGTATCTAACACTGTCACTAAGTGCGTGTACCGCATCCATGAGGAATCGCACTGGTGCCTGTCCGTGCTCCAGGCGACCCCAAGCACCAGACCCTGACGCACTCGAAATTCTTAGGGTCAGGCCCCCCTCAGAGCCCGAGGAACACTCACAGTGCACTCCACAAGCCCAGCTGTACTGGTAATCAATAGGATTATTACACTCAGCGGTTCTACATATACACTCGCAATGCTCTTGACACCGTTTGCAACTCGGACACCAGTGCGACGCCGCACATTGCGCACCTCTGCACTTGCATCTTGAGTCGGCGAGGTCAGACTTGTACCTAAAGTGCTGTTCCCGCCTGTTGTCATCTAACCTCGATGAACAATAAGCTGGTCTGAAGCTCACCTCCACGATAGTACTGTACCATGTTGTTGTGGGAAGGGTGATAGAGGGCAGGTCGGGAATTATCCAGCGGGTGTTTCGTACTCGCGTTAGCTTCACTGGTCGTGCCAGTTTCCTTACACCCCACCTTTCCGCTCTTTCTGAGAACGGCCGCGAACTTCAAGAGGCTGTCGGACATAATAAAGTACACGGTGAAGTTGCAAATGTGCCCTGAAGCTACATTATGTTTTTGTCCCTTCTAAATCCACAATAGGGCAGCACTCAGAATGACAGGTTCTAAGGCTTTTTCCATAAATGGAACGCGTTGCTCGAGAGCTGGCTGAATAAATTTAGGCTATTGTACAGTGCCTGAAAGGGACACGCACTTTGGGAATGGGGCTATCCTGTAACTTCCCGTCAGAGGGAGGTGGTGACCTAGTAGTCGAATTTGAGGTCTTATCCGTCCAAAGTCACTATCGCCCAATGCGCGCGGATGACAACACATGAACCCCGACCTCGAGACAGCCTAGATAGGAAAATCTGCTTGATGATTATCTCTGGCTCCTAGAATACTTCAGTCAGCATGTTAGACACGACTTCATCCAGCCACAGCCCTTTACGCTGTGCTGCAAAGAAAGGAAACCTAATGCGAAAAATGGTCAGCTCTTTGGATGTTCTGGAAGGATACAGCGAGCCACAAGATTCAAAGAAGAGCAACTTGGCCCTCCCTCTTCCATTCTCATGCAATGCAACACAGGCTCCAGCATATTCCATCAACAGCAAGATGCATACACGCTGTGAGGCTTGATATTTCGATTCTTCGCACGAGATTTTAGAAGAAGGTTTTCTAGATTGTTGCAGGAAAAAAGGAGCGAGAGGAAAAAGAAAACAACCCGAACACCCAAACCGACTAACATGCCGAACTGATTTCTTCTCTCTTCCCTCGAGCTCAGCCGTTTCCACCTGGCTCAGCGCACCCAAAGCTTCGCCTAGCGACACGTCCAAAACCTTAATAAACAACTCATAAGTTGTCTTAAGCCAGTTGTCGTTATCGAGTCTATGCTCCTCTGCTTCGATACGCGCAACCCTCAACTTCTCACTAAATTTGATCTTCTTCCTTCTAATCCGGGCGTCATTCACTTCGTGCATAGCATTGATTGTGTGTCGTATTCTTGTCTGCCCTCGGTGCTTCCTCCGCGAAAAGCGTCAATAAGAGAGTCCAGGTCCCTGCCTGTCACCTTGTCCTCTGCTGCCCTATTATATATTTGATCGATCGCCACTTGGTGCACGTAGTATACCGTTCGTGCCTTCTCAAGTGTCGCGTACAGATCCCGCAGCTTCTGCTCATGCAGCCCATTTGACCCCGTTAAGTGTTGGTACAGTTACTGAGTCTCCAGAAACGGCGTTAGAGTCTGTGCCCGCTTTGAGATCGCTCCCGCCGTCGGCCTCAGGCACTGGATCCCCTGTCCTGCGTTCGTGGAAGGTGTAATCCGCTACCGTGCCTACAGGTGCCACTCCCGTAATTTCGCTGATCATCCCTGGGTTCTCGGTCGAGCCGCTGTGTCTCCAAGTCGAACCCTGCAAAATAGTAACCGGGACTGGAGACTTTTGGACGAGCGCCCCGTTCATGGTACTATCTAGCAGGAAGCATAGATTAGCGGCTGCAAACTCTCTCCTGACCTCGCCCATCCTCGTCATAGTCATAATCACCTCTTCCATCTTCAATCCAGTAGTGTTGGATAAGGCTCTCACTTGATCTGCCACATGACATCTGAGCACTTTGATCAATTTAATGGCCCTCATAATTAACCTTTTCCTATATCTTCCTTCCATATATCTGCCACCAGTTGCTTTTGCTTCAAACATTGCATGTTCCGGGACTACACAGACAGCGAACCTGCCTTCTTCCTCCTCAGACAGGAAACCACAACGGCCAGCATGTCTAACAATCCCTTCTGAGCAGTCCTTACACTCCGGACAATCAATATCACTTTTGTTACAGCTGGGGCCCGTCTCCCAATTTCCGGAAGCATCTCTTTGTAGTATTACTGCCTCTGGTCTTCCATATTCCTCAAGGATGTTAAGAGTGATCCCAGCTTCTTCTGCGATCTTTCGCCACCAGTCGATCTTGACAAATTTAGCATAAGGGGAAATGGTGCATTGGGGGATTGAATCTCGGACCCCCGTTAGCTCCGTGTCGACCCCGCTGCCGATCAGATACATCGTGTCGGCCGAGAGCGTGAGTCGATTGATCACTTCGCCCCGAACTACGTTGCGTGCCTCGATGTGTGCGTCGACCCACCTGGCGCTAGAAGACCCGATTCCCGTTCTGCCGTACGTCTCCAAGTCGGAACCTGGGCAGAAAAACACTCCGCTACTGGAGTGTACGCCGAGCCTCCGTGATCCACCATTTACCAAGTTGAAGCAAGTCTTCCCCCCTTCTATCCTCACTGACGCAGAATATATAAAGTTTCCAATCGTCTTGAGGCTCAACATATTGTTCCTCAGTGCCATCCCTGTTAAGTCTCCCGCCAGCATGTGCCTATACGTTACTAAGCTTGAAAGGTCTCCAACTTTGACCTTCTCCCCAGTGTTGTACTCAACTTGTAATATGCTTGATCGTCCCCGTTCTGATCTCTTCGTAACCACTCGCTCCACGTAAAGTGGGATACCCATGCCCCTGAGGCTGTCCAAGCTTGAGCTAGTAGACATAGGTCCCTTCCTTTCGGATTTCGCGCGCAACAAGCCCAAGCAAGCGAACTTCTAAGCGCGTGCCGAGCAATATACGGTTGTGCAGGCGATGAGAGAGGCCGCAGGGAGGCGCAAGTAGGAGGAACGCGAGTAGGGAGCGCGAGACGGATGGAGGTATATGTTGTGCGGTGCCGTATGCTGCACTGGGAGGAGGGTCATGTGAAGCTGGATTGATGTTTTGATTTTTGGCACTAGATTTTTGTACAGTAGTAATTTTTCAAGGTTTTCTATTTTTGCAGGAAAAAAGGGGCGAGAAGAAAAAGAAAACAACCCGAACAACCAAAACGACCAACACACGCTGTACGATAGTTGGGCTCGAAACGCCACTTTGTTCCACATTGACAGGAGAGAGTAAACTTGGACCGGTGCAATGCTGTGGAAATTGAATAGAACAGTTTCTATTCAATTTCCACGGCACAGACGCGACAATCTTCAAGTCGCAATGTCGCGTAAGAATGGTTGCTGCAGGCCCTTGATTGTTGTTCGGCCATCTACAGTATAGCGGTCCGGCATGTTCGCATCAGCAAGATGCTGAGTCAAAAAATTCGCATCGTGGATTGGCAATCAGTTGTTAGTGCATATACGCCGCCTTGTCATTCGTGTCGCACTGCAAGGGACCCCTCATGTGTTTGGAAACATTCCAAACGTAATGATACCTGGTACAGTCAGTATCTTTACGCTTCCCAAACGTTTCGTTTTGAGAAAATTGTGGAATTTTTCTGATTGTGTAACTGTTTTGCGTGGGGGACTCACCACAAACCTCAAGGGAAAATCATCTCTGCCTGGCTATTTCTAGCGCAATTCCGGCCATCTGCGGCGTTGCTTTAGCAAAATGAATTCTTCCCCCGTGGTGCTTCCGTCAACACAGCAGTGGGGGGCTGGAGGTAAAAAAGATGAGAGCCAAGGGTGTTTATGAAGACGACGGCATCAGTGACTGTAAAAGTGCTAAAAACCTCGGAACCTAAAGGTAGACGCCCATCATTCATAAATGACCAATTAAGGGCTGCATTGTTGCGCCGTGTATTCCAGTCAATGGCAGTCCGCAGTCACTTGACTTGAGATGCATCATTCGCGGGATGGAGAGCCTGTCCAAGCTTTAACTCACCTCGCCAGGGCAACTCCACAAGAATGCTGGATAGAACCGGTCGGGTATTACAGTTGATCTGGGCCGCAGATGAAGCATGCCTACTCCTAAAAATATGAAGGTAGCAAATTTAGAGTTTTGACACTCTTCCGGGAATGTCATACCAGAAACTATACCTCAAATACCCACGCCTCCATAGATGCCGGATACTACTGAGTTATGTTCGCAGGGCGACGCAAAACAAGCACAGTTGCACATCCGATAGTGACATATGC